AGAGATGCATCTTAGCTCTGGAAATTGTTATTGAATATGTCAATGCTGTTGTAATGAAATGCTTCTTCTAATGATATGGTTATTAAATAAATAATTTTAAAAATAAAAATTAAAAACTACCAAAAAATTCTGTAGCACAATATTTATATGATGCCTGTCATATGACATTTACTGAGAAAGACAGAATAGTGATAAGAGAAGCGCTGAGGGAGTCCGAGGACTCAGCATGAAGGATGGGGCTCTATAAGCTGTCAGAGTTATCATTCTAGCTAAGACACAACTCAAGACTCGTATGGCATCTGCCCCGTAGTTCCTAGAGTACTTGATGGCCAAAGACAACTTTTCTGTAATACTCTTCTGTGAATTCTTAATGTCTTGATTTCTCAAGCTATAAATTAGTGGGTTTAAGATGGGAATCACTACCACATAAAACAAAGAAGCAAACTTATCTGTGTTCAGAGAATAACTTGATTTGGGCTGCAGGTACATAAAACTGACTGTCTCATAAAATATCGTGATGGAGGACAGGTCCAATGCACAGGTAGAAAAGGCTTTCTGTCTTCCTTCAGCGGAATTAATCCTCAAGATAGCAAAGAGGATGAAGACATAGGAAATGACCACGATCACCAGAGAGCAAAGGGTGGTGAAGCCAGCGATAACTAACACCATCAGCTCTTTGACATGAGTGTCAGAACAGGCCAGAGCCACTAAGGGCACATCATCACAGTAGAAGTAGTTGACCACATTGGAGCCACAGAAAGACAACTGGAATGTTTCCACTGTCTGTGCAATGCCCATGGAGAATCCATAGATGTATGTGCTGGCGATCATCTGGAGACAGAACTTGTTGGTCATGAGGATGACATAGAACAGAGAGCTCCAGATGGCCATGTACTGATCATATGCCACGACTGACAACAGATAAATTTCACAAACAAGGAATGTAATGAAACGGCACACCTGGGTTGCGCATGCATAGAAGTTTATACTTCTGACCACACGCAGAAAATTTATGATTGTGTTTGAGGTGACCGAGGATGTATAACAGAAATCAACAAAAGCCAGATGGTTGAGGAAAGAGTACATGAGTGTGTGAAGCTGAGGATTGACGTGGATTAACATGATCAATCAAGATTACCAAGGACAGGAGTTAGGTAGATGGCTAGGAATACACCAAAGAGGATGACTCGAAGTTTTGGATCATCTGTGAGCCGGGTGATGATGAACTCAGACACTGCTGAATTGTTCCCTGCAGCCATAGGCTGTGTGTGAATGCTTTCAAGAACACTTGATAAGTATTGGTAATAATGTTTCGTAATAATCAAATAAAAATGAAGAGATAATTCTGATTCAGTGGTGTTATGTTGAACAAATTTCAATAAAGATTTCACATTATGTCAGCTTTCAGAATAAATGATTTGTCCTGATTAAACATTTAAAAAAATATGCTATATGGTCTGTCTCTCAGGAGACCCTAAGAGAACTCCGAAGACAGTGATTATGTATCCAGACACAACTACAGGAACCAGGATAATGAAAAGGAACCAGGGAGGTAAGGGAAAACAAAGAATCTGAAAGAGAAGAACAATAGGAACCAGGTGTTAATAAGGGAGATATGGATAAAAATGGGGTTATTTCAAGGGGATGGAGGAGGGAAGGTCATACAAGGAACCTAGGGGATAAAGGTAAAGAAGGAGCTCAAGAGAGGTGGGAGCATAGGAGAAGGGAATTATTAAGGGAGAAATGGGAAAAATGGGGGCACCTTAAATGGGGAAACCATGGTGGAAGGGCTAGACAATGTGACAGATAAATAATGCCTAGCTAGTTTTTGTTATTTATTTTTTTAATTAAAAGAAGCATTTCATTACAACAGCATTAACCTATTCAATAACATTTTTCTGAGCTAGGGTACATCTCTTTCAAAATTGGCTGTACATTTCTAGGTTTACAAATGAATTATTATGCTTATATAATCTTTTGCTCATTATAAACTCTATAAGACATAAAATTAAATGAGGTTCCAACAGCAGGATGACTCAGCAGTAAAGATACCTGCTACCATGCCTGATGACCTGAGTTCTATCCCCAGGACCCATGTGGTAGAAGAAGAGAATCAGCTCTCACAAGTTGTCCTCTAACTCCACACGTGGGCCATGACACGGGCACATACACATACACACACAC